GGGGGGGAACGAATAAAGTTTGCATGCCGTGTAGGGCGACTTGACTTTGGCGTGCTCCTACATACCATGCCGAACTGAATTCATAGCCTGCTGCATTAACTGCCGTTGCTAATATTTGTAGCATTTAAAGTGGCCTTCAGCAAAGCAGGCGTCTTCCGATCTTCTGCGCGACTGATTCAACTCGATGTTTGGAATCACCGCTGTTTTCTTGTCATTGCCACTGCCGGGACAAATTTATTTGAAGTCGGAACGGCAGAAACGCGAGGTTTGGAGTAGGCCGAATTTCAACCGAGGTCAGATCGTGGGATCGATTTCAAACAGTCTTACTCTATTTTTCAAGACAACTTGCTTCCTTGATCTGGCTGGATCTTCGTTTCATTTCGTGTATTTAATTAATTCGAGACACATGCTAAAATTTACTTCAAAAGACCAGTCTCCTTTCGAATATTTGCAGCCTAATCGAGTGTATATAAATGGGAAAGACAAACCCTGATATGTCTCTATTATAAACCTCAATAATCTAGTAATTTCAATTAGAACTAATTGAAAACTGATGAATATTACGTGACGCCAGTCACGTAATACATGTAGCCTGTTTAGTCTATGTGACTTTGAACTTATATTTNGGCGACTTGACTTTGGCGTGCCCCTACATACCATGCCGAACTGAATTCATAGCCTGCTGCATTAACTGCCATTGCTAATATTTATAGCATTTAAAGTGGCCTTCAGCAAAGCAGGCATCTTCCGATCTTCTGCACGACTGATTCAACTCGATGTTTGGAATCACCGCTGCAGCCTAATCGAGTGTATATAAACGGGAAAGACAAACCCTGATATGTCTCTATCATAAACCTCAATAATCTAGTAATTTCAATTAGAACTAATTGAAAACTGATGAATATTACGTGACGCCAGTCACGTAATACATGTAGCCTGTTTAGTCTATGTGACTTTGAACTTATATTTTGGGCTTTTTCTGTAGTTTTATGCATCTTACATGAAATAATGAAACAATGTTGTAATAACAACATGGATCGACCATCGTTTTGTATATTTCCCACAAAGCATGGCCCTCAAATGGAACAAAAACAGACTAGAGTGTTCAACAATAGAGCTTTCTGAACATACCGCATTATGCAAATTTGAGAAGAGACTGTCGCAAACTTTTGGTTTTGTAAATTGTTTCAATGCGAATACTGAGAACTTCGTCAATTTTCCAGATATTTTTTGCATATTTAATGAGGCAAAAAGCTACATTTTCATTTTTTGCGCATTTCTCAAAGACTTTAAATTCTAAGAAAATCGGAATAATATTTTCAAAAGTGGCTCCCTAAAAGGGTTCTTTAGGCAAAGTTTCAGGATTTTCGATTTTTCTAACCTGGCCAGCCATTCTCAATATTTTCAGTCAGTGACTCTTAAAATGCTCTTACCACAATACACTCACTGACCATCAACCTGTGTGGAAAAATAATACATTTAATTTATATCATCCAGATCATATATGAATGTTATAATGAATTGACCATATTTAATAATCTATTATTTTGTATCTATTATAGCTGAGAAAGAAAAAGAGTGTGGAAGATTGGGAGAAGTGGTGGCAGTCATACATGTCCTGTCAAAATTAGTTAGTAGACTGCCACCATTTCTGCCAATCACATTGGAGGAGGTAAAAGACATTTCTATTGATACCCCCTATTTTTTTAAATGCAATCATGTACAATTCAATTAAAAGTTTTGAATCTGTTTTGTTGTCTTTTTAGTTATTTTTTTGTGAGGTGGCTCTATTTTATAAGTGAATTTTCTACTTAAACAACCAACATGTAATGATGTTGCAACAGGGCAAGGAGGACATCACGGTGTGCCTCTTGATTTTGGTGTCTGGAAAATCTTTAGCCCAGAATTATGTAGATTTTCTTTTTAAGTCTGTTTTAAATTTATGAAAAAACATATACTGAAAAGGGTCTGACTTTGTTATTCTCATGCTGATTTTTCAAATCACTCTGAAATGCAGTTAGCATGTACACCTGAACATAGTTTATTTTCAAAGTGATACCAGCTGTCCAGTGATAATAAAAATTAAAGAGCAAAAGACAGAGACCAAGCAATTGACAATCCAATATTGATACACAGTGGCATTTTTTGGCATTGCATCAGATCACTGGTGTTTGTGTATATTGATCATGTAATTTGACAAAATATAACCGTGCAAATGCTGAACTGAATTTAAGAATATTGTGGTTTTGTTAAGTGTCTTAGAAGATGCAAGAGAGGAAAATTCCTCTTTTGGCTGGCAGAGAGCCAGTCAAATGAGGGGATAAAAGGTATGTAAGAATAATGATTTCTTTCTTGTGCTAATTTCTTAGAAATCAGCTGTTTTTAGCAGTTCTCATTTCTGGCTTTGGATGTCAGATATATTTTGTGTACCATCCTCATGCTTTTGTCTCCTGTTTTTGGTTTCTTTAGGTGCAATCCAAGTATGGAGTCGGGGTGGACCAGACAAGCCTTCTGGTAATGGTCCCCTCACACATACCCCAATGTGTCAAGATTTTCAATGGTAAGAACTCTGAAATTAGTTTACTTAGTAAAGATTGCAACTACCTCATTTTAGCATGATTAATAATTTTTGGAAATCTTGGATCCTGTCTGCCAATTGTCTTTGTGATTAAAAGAAAAACTTTTTTTGCCTTTTTTTGGAAGGACAGTAAGGTAAGTAGCTACTCTGAATTTTGGTTTTAGTGCTCAAAGTGATTGGTGTATAATAAATTATATCTATTAATAGCTTTGACATTAAGCTTTAGGTGTGACAAGCAAACTTTTCTACATCTAATGTATTGAATTATTTACCTATAGTTATGTAATAAATTATAAAAGATTAAGTTAATAGAGACCCAAACCCTTTTTATAGAAACTAACCTAGATGAAAAGAAACTGTGTGACGCATTAGCACAAGCAGTTATGCAATGCCAGGACCTCAAGGATAAAAGGTAAGATAGTTTTAAAGCACATTAAGCATCTGAGGCCCAGTGGGTATCGCCTGTAACACAAGTTTTATTCAAAATGGACAACATCTGTGCCATTGATGATTCGGCAATTTCACAAGCTGATTGAAAAGTCTGCTGTGTAGTGTATTTAAAAGTATGTACAGTATAAGAGATAAAAGTTTGAAAAATACCCATTTGATTAGAATCCAGAATTAATTAG